ACGGGACCAGGGGTGCACGCCGCGTGGTCGGGGACTGCCAAAGTCTATTCCACATGCTGAAAGTTTTGGCCGAAAGCAAAAATGATCCTGGTCGACCCTGAGACATAGCCAGGGGTAAGTAACGGGCCTGAGACATGGCCCAGGAGAAACCCGACAACATGAGACATCCGCTACAGGAACCGCGACACAACTGAGACAGGCACCATCTTCAGTCATGGATACGCATGCATACATGAATGATGACTGGAATTCAAATATGCACTTAAGGAAAGATTTCAGCCCCGGGGCCACATCCGATACGATTATCGCAAAACATTATTAAGAATTACAGACAGATGAGGTTGAAAGGTCTCAAACATCTATTTCCGTTCCATTCCGGAAGCTGAGGGAGGATAATTGAACAGACCAGTGTCACAATCCAGTAACGCCTTTGACCGGGCAACAAGAAATGGGGTAGGGAGCAAATCAGCGGTTGCGCGGCCCCGTCACACACAACAGTAAATCGCCTTTAAAGTAAAGCAAGGTGAAAAAAAAATTACACGTAAAAGGAGGACGATTCCGACTTAGTCATATCATTAATGGGAACGTAACCGTGATATCTTTGAAAGTTTGTAACCGGGTGGGGAAATTTGTCACGAGATTATGGAACTGCTGGGCTCCAAGAGGCAGTCACTGTCATCGAGACCAGAAGCACCAAAATCGAAGAATCTGTCTTTGTTTTCTTGTCTATTTTGATTCGTCTAAACGACGAGTGCTCATGACTTTCTTGGGTACTTTTTCTTCTTTTTCTCTTTCAGTTGTTTCGACTTGATCTTCTCCTCCTGAATGCAAGAGTAGTCGGTCACGTCGACCCCAGCACTATGGCATAGCGAGGTGCATTCGGTTTCAATGACCTTGACAAGCTGAGAAGTGAAACCGTAGAAGGCCGGATTGTATGCATTCCGCGCCCAGTACATGAGTTCGGATGCCACACGACCCAAATTCGGAATGGATTGCGGCATAATCTCGGGCTTCTGCGACACACGTGGCTTGTCATTCTCCTCTTCATCAGAGGAAAGCGAAGACGACGGGGTGGAACTGCGCGAGGCGGGAGAAGATGGCGAAGAGGACTCGGAGGACGACAGATAGTCGGTGTCAGAGGCTAGGACATGGAGCAGATGGTACACAGACGCGAACCCGAGAAGTGTCAGATCCACCGGGTCAAGCGGCAACTGATTGAACCATGTGACAGCTCGTTGGATAGTGAAGGATGCCGGTAGAGAAGTGTCGCCTGTAGTCCTAGCCGTAAATATAGCCGCAATCATTGCACAGCGGACCGAGATCGCAATCTCTTCCCGCACGGACACAGGTAGAGATGAGTCAAGAAAGTTGGATGCTTGGTTCTGTTTGCTCCTCCCTTTATCTTTCGGCAACGCGGCGAGGACAGTTCCGATATTCGCAGCGCGGTCTTGCTCGAAGAATACTGCCTTCATCACCAACGCTCGAGTATGGGCGGCCGAGGGCTGAGGAGCGACGTCCAGGGCCAGTTTGATCTTCGCCTTGAATAGATCGCGACTCTTCTTCGCGTCAGGACCACCAGAGCTAGCTTCGAAGTATCTGAGCAGGGCCCGTTGCAAGAGATGGCTAGACCACCAAGCTGCGAGGGCATCCAGGGAAGATTGAATGGCAGGGTCTTCTTCCACCACATCCAACAGAGCCTGGTCATCATCAGTGCCTTCTTGAGTGGGACGATTCCAAGTGAGGTTTGCCGCTCTTTGCACGATGCTGTCAATCATGACTTCGTCGCAGTCCAGTTGCAACAACGCGGCTAGGTGGCTAGGCAGGGCATCAGGATGATCTTTCGGCATAGCCTTGTGCATGGTCCGAGCGAGGTCCCATTGATACCTTGCCAATGAACGAGCGACATCATTCGACAAGTCGAAGCTCCAAGAGCCGCGGTCCCCAACTCTCCAAAGCAGGATACGGCAATGGAGAGCTTTGAGCATCATTCTCATTGGACTCCTAGGCAGGGTACCTGCCGCAAAGATGGTAAGGACTAGACGACTCTTGCTGATTTCAGCGTCGCCACCAGCCAATTGTGCGTCAATTGCAATATCCCAGGTCTTGACTCGTCCCTTTTCGTCCTCCTCGGTAACCCCGGTAATCGAAGAATACAGTTTCCAACCCAGGAGACACCGCAGGACGTACTCAAAGCAGCGCGAGGTCACGACGTACCACTCGTGGAAAAAGCGGTGGCGCGGGACCCCGACTCGCTGTATGCTTGTCAGCCAGGCCTGACGTCGGAAATTTGACGATGTATCAGACGGTGATGAAGTCTTCAGCGAAGAGGACTGTTCACCAGGAGTAGCGTTGAAGAGGTAAACGAAGACAATGAAGGCACTGCCGACGACAAGGGTGGCGAGAATAAGAAAATGCGAGATGGCTCGTGCATGCCACGAGTACCAAAAGTTTCGAGCCATTACAAGCCAATATGCTGCGGTGGGGCTCTGAAGGCTAGCTTGCAGGTTTCCGAACAGGTTCATGGGCATTGCCAGCAGCCCCTTGGCGGTTGACTCCGTTTTCTTTTCGCTGCCCATACCCTCGACGATCATCAAACCAGCAAGGGCACCAAGCATGTACTTGTTGGGGTAATATGAGCGCCTGGTACGACCACCACATGGGGATGAGACATTGTTGTTGCTGCTGGGGTATTGGATGTATGATTGGGAAAACGCGTTATCTTTGGCAGTGGATTCCTCTCGCATGCGTTTGAAGGCATCGGGTACCTTCAGCAAACCTTCGGGGGGATATAGAGAGGTCGGCGAGTGGTCACTAGGACTATCCTCGACATGCGAGAACACACTGGGGGATGAGCTCGCGCCAGACTCTGTGGAAACGGTGTAGTTGCTGGGTGAGGAGACGGATGCTGCGGAGGTCAGTGACTGATCAACGGCCTTTTCCGCTTGACGAAGTCGGTTCTTCAAGGCCATGTTCTCATCCTCAAGTCGCTTGTTCCGGATCTCCAGGTGACGAATATACTCGGTGGCTTTCGAAAGGATAGAGGCCTTGTTCAACTTGTTGGCGGGAGTGACCCCTTCGTCGTCGTCATCCATTAGGCTACCTGACGCATTCTTCGACGCTCGGAGACTGGGTACACTATCCCTCAACTCGGCAATCTTCTCATTGAGGTTGGCTCGATAGCGTTTCTCGATGACGTTGTGCGCTCGCTTTTTGGCCGGCATCTTCTTACCGGTCGGGATCACTCCACTCACGGTTGATCCATCATCATCACTGCCCGATTTGCGTTTGCGAGCAGTTCCTTCCGAGGATAGCGGGGAACCGGACGTAGCGGAAAGCGCTGACTGCAGGTCGGTCCCAATGGATCCGATCTTCGATTGGCACACGCCACCGTAATTCTGGTCGAGTAAGGAATCGAAAGGAATATTGGTACAGTCCAGGTTGATGTCGGGAGAAAAGTCGGACTTTTGAAAGAGATCTGTGTTGCCAATTGACGCATTGGGTGAGGTGAAGGTAGTATCAAAAGGGGATTGGGAGACATCTTTTGCCCCATCGGCGAAGCCCTTGTCGTCCCATCTCATCCACTGCGTCCAATCCTGACTCGAATCTTCCGTTGTAGACTGGGCGAATGTCGTGGAGTCGGCCTGTGAGTCTCTTCGTTCCGAAGACTGGAGAGGGGAGAAGAGCTGAAAGTCGCTCCCCATGGTGGGCAGTGCCATTCCGTCCAGCGGCCAAGGCCGGGACCGCAATCGATAGCGTCAGTGCGCCTGCGGCAGATAGTACGGAGGGGGATTCCGGCTAGCGTTTAGTAATAGGTTAGTGACCAGGAGACGGATATGAGCAAGATAGCATTGATCGAACAAAGTAGTTGTGGGTGACTGTTCTATGAAGAGGCAGGCATACCTGAGGGGAAAGAAAGGTCAGGAGCGATGCGGCTAGTTGCGGGTTGAAGTCACCGGCGAGGGTATCACCCACCCCAACCAGACGCGCTAACGAGACTAGATTATGAACAGTGGAGTCTGGCTCAGGGACAAGCAGACGAGCAGTAATTGAGGGTAATTGTGGATAGATGGATGATGGGAAACTGGGTTGGTTTGCAATAATACAGCCTGGTTGATGATCTGTCCAGGCGATGCAGGTAGTAGGAAGAGAGAGAGAGAGAGAGAAGGTTAGACGCTGACAGGGTTGTCGTGGCTTCCGGAGACGACCGTGACAGGGCAGGGCAGGCAAGGTACGTTTTAGATCTTATCGAACCGTTGGGCGGTTGAGGGCGCGGCCAGTGACTGGATCAGTGGCTCTCCGTCCCGGCGGAGCAGATTTTGACTTCTTGCTATGTTATGCTAAAGAGGCTAAACCGAGAGAGGGGCGCGCAATGTACTTTGCAAAGATATCCCCTCAATGCTGTTCCACGACGGCAAATGATTCAAAGATGATGATGTAGCAGAGGGAGAAAGGGTCCGAGGGAGAGTAGGTGGCCAGCCAGTTCAAATCACAAGCGACCGAGAAAGGAAAGGCGAGGCGTGGGACTGTGGACAAGTGAACTGAACTGAATTGAACTCCATCTCCAATTGCGCTGCCTGAAGGCATGGGCGGGCGGTGATCCTCGGCCAAGATTCGGTGGTGGGCGTCGTATGATCGCGGGTGACGGCGCTTCCGGCAAACCGAGCCAGTCATGGAAAGTGGCACCAGATGGAGCTGGTGTTTCGGTATTGTTACCCATCAATGAGTGCAACTCAGTGATGGAGCTGGTAAGTTTGTATTGCACGTATGGTTAGATGGTGTATTAGTACCTTCCGCCTACGTAATCAGCCAATGATGTCGCCAAACTACTAAAAATAACAAACTTCGGGGTCCCACTTACTCAACTCTTCATGTCTTTCGTACAGTAAGATACTCTGCCCGTATCTATAGCGATGCAGCTGAATGCAAGAGGTGCATACAGCTACTATACCTCTGCATTCATTTCTAGTATCTCCTCCACCTGAGAGAATTAAGCTTAATTGTTAGTCTTTTACCATTTTGACTATGGTGACCTCATTACCTTCCTGTCTACGGGACCGCTTGTCTGCCTTCGTCGATGACTGTTTGTCAACTAAATATATACTAACACACGTTGCAGTGGTGGGTCTCGCTTGGATGAAATGGATCTATCACTGAGAACCCATGAAAGAGAGCATGCCTCGGAGGCTCCATGACGAGGTTCAATGCTACAAATACAATTCTAAAGTATATCAAAATGTCTCTAATGACTCGATAGGCCTCTGGGAAGGTGATGGATGAGATCACGTTGATGGGGATTGTCGAGATGACGAATTTGGATACAAACTGATTTCCATCTTTCAGGATGACAGTAACAGGATAATCGGGGAATTCTCCACCTGTCTGAGTGATTGATGTCTCAGGAGAACCAACGATCCGGGCTCCCTTGTAGTCATCAAGGATTGCCCGCGCGAAGGCCGTGGTGCCTCGTGCAATCTTGTATTTCATGGTGGCTATCTCCATCATGGCAGGATCAAAGTTGCATAACGCATGGGTATGAAGCACTTCGGCAAAGGAAACCTTTTCCGGCGAGACGCCATAGAAAGAAGCAGTATGCGCGCTAAGCATTGACCTTTCCTCCTGGTCGCAACCATCGAGCTGCGAAATACGATCCGCTAGGCTGAGTTTATCCAGTTCGAGGTAGTCCGGACTCTGTTCGACACTTGAAGCCGTACTAAACGGGAATCGGATTACAATGCGCCCGCCTTGCCCATCAACATCAAAGAACTTCTCCATCAGTCCTTCTAGTCGCTCCATAATGAAGTGTCCTTCCGCAGAATCCTGCACTCTAGCAGGGTGAGACCGCGATTCCTTGAACACGAACTCACCGTTCTCAGTAAACGCCACAGTTTCCTGAAAATTAGCGAGGTCATATCGTTGCAGCTCGCTGAATACATGTGGTTGTTGCCAGTGCACCCATGTGCAACGAAGCTCCACCTTTGGTAGCGTCTCCTACCTCTGCAGTCCAACAACGACCTCCAATACGATCTCGAGCTTCAACGAGGAGCACCTTTTTGCCTCTAAAAGCAAGGTCGCGGGCGGCAGTGAGACCGGCAAATCCCGCACCGACAACAATCACATCATATCTGAAAGAGAGGCCTGACGGTGGGGTAGATGGGACAACAGCCTCAGTGGTTAGTCCTTCACTGTATACTTAGCCGAGTAACTATAACGACTTTGTCGAGATAAGTCACTACATACCATACTGAAAACCGCCTTTGGCAGTCCAAGTGAATCCTTCGTCCGATGTTGGCATTTTGACTGAATAGAATAATATCAATGGTGGGCGAAGTGTCAACAGCAGGTGTGTTGCTTCTATCCAAAATTAAAGGCTGACGATCGGTTTCCGTTATCTCTCAAATTTCCCCATTTCCATCAACTAAGGATCATGATCATTAATCTCTGATACTACTAACTAGTAGTTATCAGATCATAATAGTATAGCTATTGTGGTCTTTCTCCAGCATAGATGTTGTTGGGTCTTCTATTTAGCCTCGCCCTATAATGATCAGGGTCTTGCCCTTGCACAGAAGAGATTCGGACCAAAGTTGTACCGCTACACATTACCTGACGGTGTAAATCATGCGAACTGCAGCATCGCAATCAACGATGATCCGGCATGGCAGTGGGGTTGCGCGCCCCCGCTCTTCCCAACCCCGCGTATATTTCCCCATACGTCGAGGGAGGTATATAGCAATCGATCCATGAGTATGGCTAAAAATCTCCCAAGATGATTCTATAATATCTTCATAAGCCAGATAAGTTGATTCAAGTCTCATAGGACGTATTCAGAAACACGCTCATGGTCAATATGGAGTTACAACTTCCAAACCGAGGGGTCTACACGGACCAGGATCATAATCTCTTTATCAAGGAGGCAGAACCTACCCTCGATCACATAACCGATGGATCAAGCTTAGCAGAGGGAGAGGTCACAGTAGCAATCAAGTTCAGTGGAATTTGCGGGTAATTCGTGCCGTCCAAAACCCATCCATCCATGATGAGAGCTAATCGTAGCGATCAAGTTCGGACGTGCACTTCTGGAAACACGGCGGGATCGGTCCGTGGGTGGAAAATGAAGCGCATATATTGGGGCATGAGTCTGCAGGCCTCGTCGTCAAGGTCCACCCTTCGGTCACGACACTCGCAGTGGGAGATCGCGTCGCGGTGGAACCTCACATTGTATGCAAGGCATGCGAACCGTGCCTTACCGGACGCTACAATGGGTGCAAGAATCTGCAGTTCCGCTCCAGTCCGCCATCTCATGGTCTCTTGCGGACCTACGTGAACCATCCCGCCATCTGGTGCCATAAGATCGGCGATCTATCATTTCCAAAAGACGCCTTGCTGGAGCCACTGAGTGTCGCACTCACCGCAGTGACTCGTTCGGGGGTCAAGATTGGAGATCCGGTGTTGATTTGCGGCGCAGGGCCAATTGGGTTGGTGGTGCTACAATGCTGCCGCGCTGCTGGGGCGTATCCCATTGTGATTAGCGATGTTAACCCGGCGCGTCTACAGTTTGCACAACAATTCGTGCCTGCTGCTCGAACACTGCAGGTTCGGCCGGAGGAGACGGACAAGAAATTTGCAGCTCGGGTGGTGCAGCTGATGGGTGGGGAGGATTGCGAGCTCGTGGTTGCCCTGGAATGCACGGGAGTCGAGAGTTCCATCGCCAATGCTATTCAGAGTGTCAAGTTTGGGGACAAAGTGTTTGTGGTCGGCGTGGGCAAGGACAAGCTTCAGTTTCCATTCATGCGACTGAGCGAGCGCGAGATCGATCTGCAGTTCCAGCAGCGCTATGTCAACATGTGGCCGCGCGCCATCCGGGTGATGTCCAGCGGAGTGATTGATTTGGACCCGATGATCACGCATGTCTATGCCTTTGAAGACGCTTCCAAGGCGTTTCAGACGGCGTCGCATCCGAGTAGTGGCTCAATCAAGGTGCTGATTGAGGGACCAAAATAATCGATGGTGGGCAGCCGAAGTCATGAATGCCATAAGGAATAGCAGAACAGAACATGCATCTTCTACATAACATGATAAATATCCTACTCTCTCCCAGTGAAATGATTTGGTTCCAGCACAGAATGGCTCAAGACATGGAATGATTCTGCTGATTATGAGGAGTCAAGAGTGGATAAGTTAGTGTGAAGAAGATATATCCGTTAGCATAAAAGCTAAGCTCGAATGAAGAAGAAATGTGGAGTCATGATAATAAATCGAACATGGTACAATGTAGAATGGTGTTTTTGTTGCTAACGGTGACTCGGACTCCGTCGGCTTTGCCAGCGATCGGCAGGTCACGCGTCTGCTCAGCTTGGTACTTATCTCCCCAGTCACCTAAGCATGGTTACTCCACACTTCTCTCTTTTCCGATAAGAGATAGCAAACATTCTTGATAAAAGGGTGAAGAGCATGCTCTGAATATCTTCACTCTGAGAGTTTCCTTCCCCATCTTTGATCTCTGCTGTCCGACATGTACACTCTCTGGGCTGCTGCCTTGGTGGCTGCTTTGCCCGTCTCCAGGGCCCAGTTTGTGTCTCCACCCACGGATCTCATTCCCACCAAGGGATATCTCGACATCCCCGTCCGCTACAAACAGGTCCCCACCGGCATTTGCGAGACCGATCCCAGCGTCAAGAGTTTCTCTGGTTATCTCGATGTCGCCGAGCACGAGCACATCTTCTTCTGGTTCTTCGAGGCGCGCAATCAAGATCCCACCGAGGCTCCCTTGACCGTCTGGATCAATGGAGGCATGTCTGACCCCGGGCACAATTTCATTCCAATTGCTAATTATTCGAAGGCCCTGGCTCCTCCTCTATGATCGGCTTGTTCCAAGAGCACGGCCCATGCGGCATTGACGCCAATGGCTCCGTCTACAACAACCCGTACTCTTGGAACAACGCCAGCAACATGCTCTACATTGACCAGCCCGTGCAGACTGGCTTCTCCTACAGCATTCCGGTCCCCGGCTACGTGGATTCCTCCACGGACAATGTCATTGCTCTGCCCTCCCCTGTCTGCCCCGACTATGCCGCGGACATGTCCTGTGGTACCTACGCCTACCCAAACGTGAGCCTTACGGCTAATTCCACCGACAACGCTGCCCCCAACTTCTATCGCGCCCTGCAGGGTTTCATGGGCGCATTTCCCCAGTACTCGCGCGAGACCTTCCATTTCACCACGGAAAGTTATGGCGGTCACTACGGTCCCGTATTCAATGAGTACATCGAGGAGCAGAATGCTCATCTCCAGCCGGGAGCCAAGAAGATCCAACTGGGGAGTGTGATGATTGGCAATGGCTGGTATGACCCGATCATTCAGTACCAGGCCTACTACAACTTTACGGTGCACTACTTGATTTTGGTCCTTGATTTCTACTGCTTCGACACTAACCCATCCACAGGTATATCCGGGTAACACCTACGATTACCTGCCATTCAACAAGTCCATCAGCTCGCTGATGTACAACAACCTCTACGGCCCCGGAAACTGCCTCGACCAGCTTTACGACTGCGCCGCCCGAGGCATTGACGAGGTCTGCAGTACGGCCGACAACTTTTGTGCCAACGAGGTCGAGGAGATCTACGACATCTACTCCGGTCGGGATGAGTACGATTTCCGCGAACTCACCCCGGACCCGTTCCCTTACGAGTTCTACGTCGACTACCTGAATAAGGCATCCGTGCAGGCCGCCATCGGCGCATACATCAACTACACGGAGAGCAACAACGCTGTCGGACTCGCCTTTTCGTCCACCGGTGACGACGGGCGACTCATGAACACCATCCAGGATGTGGGCAAGCTGCTCAAGCAGGGCGTCACGGTGGTTATGTATGCCGGGGATGCCGACTTCAACTGCAACTGGCTGGGCGGGGAAGCCGTGTCACTGCAGGTCAAGGCTGCCAACTTCAGCAGTGCAGGTTACACCAACATTGTCACCTCGGATGGAGTGACGCACGGCCAGGTGCGCCAGGCAGGGCAGTTTGCCTTTGTGCGGGTGTATGAGAGTGGCCATGAGGTTCCCTTTTACCAGCCCTTGCTTGCGCTGGAGATGTTTGATCGCGTCATTGGCGGCAAGGATGTGGCAACAGGGAAGATTCCCGTGACGCCGAGTCTGCAGACGGTGGGCACACTCAAGAGTACCTACCGCGAGGGCAACGGCACGATTCAGTGGGAGGTGTTGGACTCACTGGCGACGTACAACACGACCACTAATGCTCCGAACCCAGTGAGCCGGAGGCTGAAGCGGATGGGACCGGCTTTGAGGTTTCAGATGTAGATCTGAAGTACCTGCAACTGTGCGTGGAAGTACATTGTTCAGCGCGATTTAACGATCATGTCTAGCTGTGCCGCCAAAGGGGAAGCTACAGATATTAACGCCTTTCTTTCGATGCAAACATCTTACGAGCCATGAATACTATTTATGATCAGGCCATCTACTGCCGGTGAACTATTGTAGTGACGGAGAGTTTCTGTTCAATCGCAATTGAAAGAAAACTGTAATAACACAACATGACTCGCTGGCGACAAACCGGGTGGAAGATATTGTGAAAAGCAAAGTTTAAAATCTCTCAAGCCATGGGTCCCATTTCAAGCTCCTTCCAATCCATTGGTCTTAGCTGAATGAACAAGGTAGAAATTCAGGGGTAAAATCAGACAAATTTGGGTCTGGCGGGGGTTTGGTGGGGACCGGATCAAAGTCGCATTAGTTTGGGGCATGATCGGCGCGCAACGAACAGGCAGTGGAGGCCGAGATCGCTGTTTTGACTCTACATTGCACCCAAACCAAGGAAGTTCGTATCCATCGATCAATAGTGCATCTCATCTGGCAAGGCATGGGATCCTCACCCCAATTCAGGCCGGCACCTCCCGGCACAACAAAAGGAGCATGGCAGCCTGATTTTTCTCTGTTGAACAATTTGTCGATTGATCTTCTGTCCAAGATCTGTCTCTCGCAACATGGGCAACACAACCAGTATAGCAGGGCGTGATTGCCTGATATCTGCCCTGGGAGGCAATTCAGCCCTTGCGGCTTTCCCAAACCAGCTTCTTTGGACTGCCGATGTCCACGAATACAACCTCAACCTCCCGGTTACTCCAGCCGCCATCACGTACCCGGAGACAGCAGAACAAATCGCCGGCATAGTCAAATGCGCCTCAGACTATGACTACAAAGTGCAGGCACGCAGTGGAGGCCACAGCTTCGGAAACTATGGTAGCATACCCTCAGCCAAATAACCCCTAGGCCATTCC